GTTTCTAAAATGTCAATGGTTTCTTCTGTTCATTAGGCTAACATAGAAAAATATACTGGTGAATATTGTATGAGTATTGTATGTTAATATTGTTCAAAGGTCAGTTTTACTTTTACTTATACTTACATCAGAAAGACTCATTTACACAAATTGAGATATTCCAAAACCTTTCTTTATTGTGATTATGATAATTATGGCTCAAAGCTGTAAAAACAAAAATAAAACACCACAGAAAATGGAATATTTTGAAAATGGGCTGTGCGCAACTTGATAACAACAATATAACAAACAAAGGCATTTGTCATTTGCATGTAACAAGTTGGTTTCACAATGAATGTTCTTTTAGAGGGATTACTTGAAAGATCCAGGCTGTGGCACCACTGACGTAGTGGACTGTAGACTCACCACCTGCAGAGGATCAGAGGGACTGGTGCTATGAGCAGTAGGTGGCAGCTCTGATTGTCACCCCCCCGACCCAGAAATGCACTAATAAGGAGGTAGAAAATGAATGAATGAATGAATGTTCTTTTAGTGAGATTACTTACTACTTGGGTTTTTTGTACCTAATGTGAGGATGTGTGCAGCAGTTTTAGATTACGAACTAAGAGAAGCACTGATGCTGCAAACAACATATGTCTTTCTAATCTCATTGCAAAATCAATATGACTCCTGTTTCCATAAAAGTTGTCCACTTAATTCAAAATCAACCAATAAAGTGATAGATGGATATTACTCTTAGGTCCCTTAAAGGCGCTATACCCGTTTCTGCAATGTTTGAATGTTTAGCACCGCCCCCCAACTCGCTCAATGGCTTCTCATTTCCCCTGCGCTCTCATCCCACGGAGCCACCTAGTTTTATTTGCGATCTGATACGTATGCTAACATTAGCAGTAGCGCAACTTCTTGTAAGCTGTGCAACAATCACTGATGAAATGGCACTAAAGCAACGCACTGCTAACACAATATATAAGTAAAAGAATACCGCTAGTTTCGCGTCCGAATGTATTAATTTAAAACCTTAGAATATATTATAATATTTAATTATAATTTGTTATAGAGCTCCTCAAAGCAGCAGCAGCAATTCTTCCGATCATTTTTTCTTGATAACAGAACTCTCAAATCAATAATGACCGAAGCCCCAATGCAATCTCTGTTTGTAATTCAGGTGTGTAAAATACTGCCATTACTCTGCAAGTACAACAAGCTATCAGCGCCTGTCACTACACACACTACACACTACACTGTAGAGAAGCCAACGGAGCTAGCCACGCTCAATAAACAACTACATATCTATCAATCAACACCATTAAACGTCAATCGGACAATACAGTACACATATACATCCTTAACACACATGCACGGACGATTTCAGAATTTGCTGTTAACGTTTTCATGACAAAAATACTGTTTCAATGTGACAAAAAGCGATTGCGAAAAACCCGGAAGTTACCATGAAACAACTAGCTAGCTTAGCTGTTACCTGCCTAGCACGTCCCGGTGAAACCTTTGGGAGCTAACTATTTTATTTGCAGTCATTAAATACATTTCGAATTACAAGGGTTGTCTAATATTTGTTCACATTTTTTTATTCAATTATTTTGTTCATCATTTTTTATTTTAGAATTATATTCGAATTTCGAAGCTGAAGCCCTGGTGTTAAGCAGCGCTGTAGAGGCTAGAGGACACAGGCTGTTCGCTGCTCGTTCTGTGAGCGGAGGAGAAAGAGCGGCCCGCTATGACTCTACTCAGCACTTTTCACTGCTTGTAATTCTTACACAGCTGAATCAATTACCTCAAGTTTTCAATTAAATGATGTATTATGATACAACTTGTATGTAGTAAAAAGCATTTTTATGAACTACTTAGAAAAAAAATCGGGTATAGCTTCTTTAAGGTGCTCTGGTAAATACAGTAAATACCACTTGCTGAGTGGAAAATTGCACATGAATGACCCCTCATCTTGTATTTTCTACCGGAGAACTGGGACATAATCTTGAGCTTGTCGAGAGGAAAAAAGCTTTGAGCTTCAAAATGGTGAACACTGACAGAAATATTGTGAATGGTCAGCGTTTTGTTGTAAATGACGCACTTTTAGCCAATAAGTCACAACGGTGACATCACCATTTCACTTTGCAGCAATTTAAACAAGTGCCGTTGGATGATAAAAGGGTAAGAGATAGGAATGGTTTATCCGTCAGCAGAAACTGACTCAATAAAAACGGCACGACTCTCACACCAGAAAAGCTGTTTCCCTGTTTGTCTGATATTTATCAAACAGTGAGTAAATCATTTGTCCTGGGTCGTTTGGTGCACTCCTGCCTCAGAAGTGTTTATGTGAAATATTCAAATGACAGTTTTAATACCTTGCACAATGAGACGCAGTCGCTGCTGTCATGTTTAGTTTTACTTACGACAACAAAAGCCCTTCACTGCAAAAAGTGATACAAAATAAGTAAAAGAAATACTCAGATTTGACCAAAGGTATGTTAATTTGAGCATTTTTTTTTTTGCTTTAAAACAAGATTTGGCAATGGGAAAAGTAAAATGATCTTGTTTTAAAAAGATACAAGAAATGTCTCTTGGAATGAGAAAAAAATGAATGACTTCTTGAAATAATGGCGTGGCAAATATTCAGAATGTACTCAAATAAAAAAAACTAAAAGAATAAATGATTTAAGCATTTATTAGCTCATATTTGTTCACTATTTGTAGTGAAATTTACCAGAACACACTTGTGATCACCAGCTCACATCTTTAACAGACTGTTGTGGACTGTTTTCTATTACAACAGGCAATGCACATTTGTTTATCACATCTTGCTGTAGATTTTTACTCTTAAAAACTAAATATTAGCAATACTTATCTGGGGTTCAGATGGCAATCAGCCTGACACGGTGCTTTCCAAGAGAACCCTCCCCAGACTCCAGCATGCTTTTACCAGATAACCTTCCTGTAGAGAAGGATTCCTATCGCATGCATTATCTTTGATGCCTTTGTCTTCTGCGCATGTTCTATTATCTGTCTCCCACATTTCTCTTTCATTTTTTGCCCTTGGTCTTTTGTGCTGTGAGCACCCTGCACAAACGCAGCTGGTTCTTGAACTTCCCAGCCTTGAATTGAAATGTGATCAATTAGATTAGATCAACAGTATCAATGGTAAAGTGGTGTTTATTGCTCAGGTAAACCTTGAGTGGCCTCTTTTAAGCAAAGAAGCTCTTTTAGCTCTTTTCAAACATTTTGTGTAGCATTTTTTTTTTTGCCAAGAAAGTGATTCAAACTAATGTATCCTCAACAAATAGATTAGTCATCTCTTGCTAATGGATCTGAGTCATTTGGGAAACTGAGATGCACTTGAAGAAATATTTGAGAATGAGGAGGTGTACATATTGGCTCATCCAGTGCAGACAGAGGGCGTGAAAACAAGGTCATGTTACAGATGCAGCCCACTTTTCTGGACGGGACTCGCAAAGACAAACCAAAGAGGTGATGCCCCGTTTACCTGCAGCAGACAGTGAGAGATAAAGATAAAGGGAGCTGCCCTACACACACAAGGTGTAATGGGAAAGTGTAGCAGTGGTGGCGGGTCATATAAATCTAGGCGGGGATATAATTTATCATGTATTCATCTACAATCATGAGGGCTTAATTACACAAGAGAATAAGCCACATACAGTATAGCTAATGTCCATGTCAACCACTAAACACAATACTATCCAGTAAAGTTATAATATTAAAAAGCTAAAAACACATCCATTTAACATCCCAATGAAAAAAGTGAAGAATAGTATTAGTATTTGGGTTTAGCCTTCATGGTGTGTGTATGTGCGGGAGGCGGGACTTACACCTGTCAGTCCTAACAGACTGTGAGTGTGTAAGTGAGTCAGTGCAGAGGAAAACTCGCCCCTGTTTGGCAAAAGTAGCATTTAGATAAATAAAAATACAATGCTTATGCACATTAACGACTTGTGATCTAACAAATTATAATAAAATAAAAATACAGTCCATTCTTTCTTATTTTTCTACAATATTTCAGGGATTACCTAGCCCACCGAGCAAATTGATACCAGCCATCCCTGAAGTACAGCATGAAGTGTTTCTAATTGGACCAAGTTAATTTGAGACAAAAGCTTAATCAAATGTGATTAAAAAGGACCCTCATTAATCACAGTCAATTGTGGTTGATTTGAATAACTAAGACCACAAAACTCTGAATGATTTGCAGCTTGAAACTTCAACGCTGTGATTTGGTGGTTTCACAATGACTACATTTGAACAATAATATTTTATAACGTAAACATTTATAAAACAATTGCCTAAAACATAACAACATTTACGTCCTGTGGATTTTACAGGATGTACATTTACAGCATTAAAAAAGCAGCATTAAAAAATCAGAGAGGTTAGGGTTAGGGTTAGGGGTAGAGGAGAGCTTGTACATACAACATTGAAAGGAAATGTGTAAATGTCTCATTGCTTATGATGAAACACTTCTATCAGAGCATCCTCAAGCGGCTCCACTTTTCTGCATAAAATATGAATAAAACCAAATGTTTTTGTCCTACACAACTAAATGACTAATCACTAGATTAATGGGTAGTTAAAGGCCTACTTCCTCTCCCTTTCTAACTCCTCCAGGGCGGGAAGAGATTCTGAAAAGTCAGCTGGACTGTATTTGTGGCGCCACCTGCATGTGAAAGATCCACTTAGAGCTCAGATACTGAACAGGGCAAGGAGAAGCCACACAGCCATAAAGTTCCAAACATTGTGTCTTGAGGCAATGCACCCATATTGCTGTGGGTGTGTGTGTGTGTGCGTGTGTGTGTTGTATGAATGATTGGTGATGGGCGCGGTCATTAACGACCTTCATGTATGGTGTGAGTGAAAAATGCCATGTGAGCTGTCACTGGATGCAGAGAAAAGCACCATTTTCTGTATGGCATGCATTATGTGAGTACTCCTCTGCAGTCCTACCCATCCATGTGTGTGTGTGCATATAGTACCTCCAAGTACACCACCCAGGGCATCACCAGAGTGGCCACGAGGAGGTCCGCCACCGCCAGGCTGACGATCAGATAGTTAGTGGTGGTCTGCAGCGCCTTCTCCCTGGACACGGCCATGCACACCAGCACGTTCCCAAACACAATGACAAAGATGAGCAGCGTGAGCAGCATGGCGTAGTAGTTGTAAACGTTCTTCGGCCCGTGCTCCGTCCCGTTGAGGCCCCATGTCCCGTTCTCGAATACGCTGTCGTTGTAGGCATACTGGGTAATGACATCCATTAGCTGTGAGTGACAGAAGGCCGTGGGGGGGCCCTGCAAGTGGAGAGACAGAGAGGGATATGTGAGAGTAGTGCCTTATGAATACTAGTGTTTTCAAAGCACATCTATTTAAATTGCCTACTGTTATCACCACGAATCGGAAAACAAGTAAATTGATCCAATCCAGTCCGCAAATGAAAACAGCACAAATGAAAGTCCACACCTATAGCATGAGGCATATATGAGGGATCCAGGGGAAATAAAAATGTGATGTTCGTTCCTCAGGCTGCCCTCGAGTGCCATCACTGACCCTCCTCAAGAATCTCAAACACACCCATCATGTCATTTCTTTTGAGATTGTCCTTGGCTCCTTCCTCAGCCAAGCACATGTCACAGTGCACCACATATGCCACTACACCTCAGCTTGGGACACCTGCTAACAAGCTGCAGGAAGTCCGTGGCTTCCTGTAAATCAGTGGCTTTAGACATTTATACTTATTGTTAAATGATAATAACCAGCATTAGTTCTGGTCTATTATTACTGACAAATCTATCAAACCTATTATTCTGTCTCTACTCATTGGAAGAATTTACATGAACAACTTTCTGTTATACATTTTTCGAACCCAAATCTTAAAATGGTCAGTTCTGTTGTTCTGAAAATTGGGTGGGAATTAGGGAGGTTTAATTCAAGTTAATTTGATTGTATTTTTTACCCAATCTGTAGCACTTTAGATGTGTTCACATCTTTAAGATTCACATCTTTACACTGTAAGATGTGTTCACATTTTAAAGGTGTGTGGTATAAATAAAATGCATTATTATTATGATAATGATGATGATTATGATCATATCATAATGACCGTTACGTTTGTGAAGTCCCCTGGCCAGTCAAAAGAACAGCAGTATCTGTTTTCTTCTGCTCTTTCTTCTGTTTTTATCTTTTGGAACAGGAACACACAGGAGACAGTGTTGAAAGAATCATATCTGGCTGCTCTCTCATTGGTTGACCTCGTCTGTCCCGGCCACCACTCAACCACTGAGATCGCTCAACGTCCCAGACCAAATGTCTATGTAAAGTCTGTCTGTCTGTAATTTGTCTGTCTGTCTGTAGTCTGTCTGTCTGTCTGTAGTGTATCTGTCTGTCTGTAGTCTGTAATCTGTCTGTTGTCTGTATGTCTGTATCTGTCTGTCTGTAGTCTATCTGTCTGTTTGTACTGTATCTGTCTGTCTGTAGTCTGTCTGTCTGTAGTCTGTCTGTTTGTAGTCTGTCTGTAGTCTGTTTATATCTATGTGTTTTGTAAAGCGTCTTTGAGTGTCCAAAAAAGCGCTATTTAAGTTTGATGCATTATTATTATTATTAGTCTGTCTGTTGTCTGCAGTCTCTCTGTAGTCTGTCTGTAGTCTGTCTGTTTGTAGTCTGTCTGTCTGTAGTAGTCTGTCTGTATCTGTCTGTATGTAGTCTGTCTGTAGTCTGTCTGTATCTGTCTGTCTGTAGTCTGCCTGTCTGTAGTATGCCTGCAGTCTGTCTGTCTGTGTCTGTCTGTAGTCTGTCTGTCTGTAGTCTGTCTGTATCTGTCTGTAGTATGCCTGTAGTCAGTCTGTAGTCTGTCTGTCTGTAGTCTGTCTATAGTCTGTATGTCTGTAGTCTGTCTGTATCTGTCTGTCTGTAGTCTGTCTGTATCTGTCTGTCTGTCTGTAGTCTGTCTGTCTCTAGTCTGTCTGTAGTCTGTCTGTATCTGTCTGTCTGTCTGTCGTCTGTCTGTAGTCTGTCTGTATCTGTCTGTCTGTCTGTATCTGTATGTCTGTAGTCTGTCTGTAGTCTGTCTGTAGTCTGTCTGTCTGTCTGTCTGTATCTGTATGTCTGTAGTCTGTCTGTAGTCTGTCTGTATCTGTCTGTCTGTCTGTAGTCTGTCTGTCTGTAGTCTGTCTGTAGTCTGTCTGTATCTGTCTGTCTGTCTGTAGTCTGTCTGTAGTCTGTCTGTATCTGTCTGTCTGTCTGTAGTCTGTCTGTCTGTAGTCTGTCTGTAGTCTGTCTGTATCTGTCTGTCTGTCTGTAGTCTGTCTGTCTGTAGTCTGTCTGTCTGTAGTCTGTCTGTCTGTAGTCTGTCTGTAGTCTGTCTGTATCTGTCTGTCTGTCTGTAGTCTGTCTGTAGTCTGTCTGGCCTGGCAGTCAGTGAAGTGCACGCTCCAGGTCCAGATGCTTTGTGCGCTGCCCTCAGGGAAAAGAATGCCTTGTGGATTGGTTTGTTCATCTCGTTTGTAAATCACTGTAAATAACTTTGTCGTTTTGAACTGGACCCAGGAACGAGCTGCTTTCAGCCAATGGGATCCAGTTAAACAAAGCAATCCACTTCTCTCTGTGCATTAAATGCTTCACAGTAAATACCAAGAAGCATCTTTGATACTACGCTATAATACATACTATTATTAACATTAAGCAGCTGATGTAGAAGGGCTGAGGAATCATGATTTAAATACTTATGTATGATTGCATGTTCAGCACTTTCATCTTTATAAGCCATCTTTTGTAATTACCCAGGGCTGGCTGACGAGCAGTTTTACAACTTCATCAGAATCCGAATAAAAAAAGGCTCATCAGTGAAAGGATGTTAGTGCCACAGTTTCCATCACATTACATTATTGAAATGTTACTTTACTTCAGGCTTAAACTGGTCTTTTCTGTAACTCACTGTTGCACTTGACCTGAAGTGAGCCGACGAGAACGTTATACAATAATTGTACATGTTGAATGTTGATTTATACTGAATTTATATTTGCTAGTACAGTGCCGTGGGTCATGTATTCCGCTTGGGGGAGCTTATGTAAAGTGTTAAATGATGAAGGATGAAATGAAGGTTGTGTTTTAAGGTTGAAAGAGGTGTACATACTCTGTGTAGTGCTAAAGGATATCAAAAAATATCAGATTACTACTTTAATTAACACCACTCATATTTTTCACAATTTTTCTCAGTCGCTTTGGTGTATTTCACAGATCAGACTTGAAGTTCTAAAAACTATAAATTCAACCTCCACAACATTGAGTCGTTGGTGCACATCTCAGCAGTTTCTCATTCCAATGAACAAATTACAAATGCTTTTGTTCATGTATCAGTTACTTTCACACAATTCTCTGCTGTTTTACAACATTATCATTTGTCTCTGTCCTGTCAGTCAAAATGAAACATACTTATAACTTCTGGATAGTCATTCCCTATAAAACCGATAGTCCTACTTTCTTCACTTGAGTCATCGCATACAAATTGTTGAACTAGTTCAGTCCTAAATCTGTCATCTTCACTCATGACGAGGTTTGTGTTTTATTGTTTACATTTTTCACAGTTCTACCATAATGATATTCTGTATGTTTGTTCTACGTAAATACTGTAAGTGACTGTATTTTTGTTGCACAATGCTGTAGAATTGCAAAGAGCATGTAGTAAACATGTGAAATACATACAGTACATATATACATACACACATATACATACGCACATAAATATATATACATACATACAGTATATAAATGTGTCTTGTACTCAGTTACTTCACTAAATACAGTCATGTGTAACTTTACTGTAGTTTTTACTGCTCACCGAGTTTCATTGAAAACACAGAGAGCGTAAACTTTCACAATGATCACGTGACTAAGTCATGTGACTGTTGTTCATAAACACTGGTGTCAGGACATATTATTCTGAGACACAGACAGCTTCATTGACATGAAGACTTGCTTTTGAGGAATTCACTTTTCATTTTGAGAAGGTGATGCATTTTTGCAGGTTATCCCCAAGGTTTTGCAGTTTGCACTAATTGTTCTGAGAAATGCACCAACTGTAGTGAAAATGTGAAGGATAATGTGAGAAATGCACCAAAGCCACTGAGAAAAACTGTAATGTTTATGCAGATTTTAATGTTTAGGATTTGTTAATGAAGTGGTTTAATAACAACAATGAGGACTAATGAACTAATGAATGTTTTATTTTAATTAGTAACTATTGTACAGTGAAATTTCCCCACTGTGGGACGAATAAAGGATCTCTTAATCTTAATAAAAATTGATCGATTGATTGATACGGGTGAGTGACATTAGGCTCCACTTGTCCAGACCACACACAACCACAAATGTACATGTTTATGATTGTTCGTGAGGGAAGAACATAATAATTGTGAGGGAATTTGCCAATGCTGATCAGAACTCAGCTGATTGGACCTGGAACTTTGCGGTGGTCTGGTAGGAACATGCAAAGACGCTAATTACAATAATATAGCGGCTCTACTTTGATAGGTAAAAGCAAAACTGCACCCTCCCCTGGACTCTTGTGTGTATGCATGGACACATCCCAACAGAGATTTATCAAATTACAGTATTGATATATATATATAGCATTGAAATAAATAACCTTGTGAAACTGTATATGAAAAACATACAGGTGGAAAACTCCTAACAAAATGATTGAAAACGAAAGTTGCTATGCTGCATTACAGGTCCATAAATCTCAGCAGATACAAATGCGGTCATTCTAAAGTCAAGTTGATTCTATCCCCAGACACCAACTCAACCCTCATATATTTTTACCAAAGAAAATGATTTTGGAGTTTGATCTTTCTCTTTTTAGGCATTGCTCCCATTTATAATAGTATAAATGAGTAATATGTAATAGTAATCAGAGGCCAAAAGTACAGGACTACAGCTTCCCAACGAGCCCACACATGTGTTTGTACTCCAAAGGCTTCTCAGATAGATTTAGTGTGAATTGTTTTTGAATTTTGGAGGTCGAGGGTTACGTTTTCAATCATTGGTATCCCCGCAGAAGGAGTAACACGAATCATTCATGTATTCCTCTCTTTAGTCTGTAACTGACCTTCTTTATGGCGTTTTCACCTTTAAAAGAAAATTAAATAAACAAATACAAAACCAACTAATTTCTGGATTTCAAAACACTTTTTTTTTTGTCCGCGAGTGCTGCTCAGGGACAGCTTGTTCTCTTTGCATATAAAAAATGTTGTTCGTTGGTTCA